GGTTCATGAGAATTCTGAGCATTCCATCAATGTCTCTGTTTACGAGAAATGGCAGTTGATACCAAGCACATGGAGACCCTGGTGGAGATCACATTTCGCGCTGTACAATTTTGATGAAACTGAGAAACCATTGTTTGTTGATTTCACAGAGGAGCTAGAGGAAGTGAAAGAAGCAATAGACGACTTGGGATGGGTTCGTCTGACAAAGAAAATGGACAAACACTTTGCTTATCCCAAGGTACGTTTGATCAGAGCAACAAATATTTGATTCCCTCTCAAGAGCCCTGTTCACCTTACTTTTTGATTTTACCCATTTCTTTTTCTGATTGGCAAAATAGATCACGTGCCCTTTTGGATGTTCGGAATTCCTTCACAAAACAAACCATGTCCCGCTGAAGGACTTCCTATGGTGCTACTCCAATTACGAGATGCAATGTTATGAAGCGCCAAAAGGCAAGAATTGGACGGATTTTATTTCTCCGTCATATCCGAGCATATGTTTGATACTGGAAAAATTTGTTTGTTCCCCTGGTATTGCTATTACAGATGATGGACCAATGATCTTGTGCTGTCAAGAGCATTTGACAAGTACAAAGGTTGCGTACTTACATGTACCTGAATCACCTACCGGAACTATATATACACCCCATGCAAATAGTTTTGCGCCGGTTGCCATACGATCAAGGACTAATAGGAGATTCAAGGTAAGGTGGTGTTGATTCCAAATCCTTTCGTCATATAGTCATTTTACTTATTCTCTAGTTTCAGCCCAACGTTTTTAGCGACACTTTCTGCACCGTGAAACAAGTCGGTGGTTTTGGGGGCATTGACTCTGCCTATGTTACCACTTCTAATGTGCCTATGAAGTCTGATACCCTGTCTTGCAACAGAGATTTTCTTTCTATTCAAGGCCGCCCAGACATTAGGGCTCAGATCAATGAGAGATTAACAGACAAGAATAGCCCGTTGTACATGTCTAGAGACACTATTGAGTCTATTTTCAGGGCTTCAAAACTGAAATATCCAGACCTGATGGAGTTGCCGGAAACAGCAACTTCGACTTTTGTGCCTTGTGACGTTGCTGTAAAACTGCAGGAAATGATGTACGAAGAAGACTAAAAAACTATCAAAGTTTTTGAAGATGACGGAAGCGATTGCAAGTTCTGTGGAAGATAATAGATCATGGCATGGACATTGGTTGCAGTTTGCATCAAATGTGCTTACTATTCCAGGGAAGACAGCAAAGTCTCGGTATTTCCCAGCACTGGCCAAGAAAAAGGTTCATGATCTTTTTCCCGTTCGGCTTGAGGATACACTAAATGACAAAGCAAAGACTGCTGACCTGTTTTGTTCTTGCAAGTCTGTATTTGTTGTTGAGGGATCATTGTCACAAGTTGAAGCTTCTGACCAAGAATTAGAAGGTAAAGAGGTTGTGATATGTGTCAATCCAAAGTATCCGGAAGTAACAACGGATCGTGCTGAGTCTTTCGAGTTACGTTGTTTAGTGTCAGGGAACCTTGATAACAGGCAAATGTTTGTTCGACACAAAGGTCAAAAGTTCTGGGTTCAGAATGGCGCCTTGCACCTGTGTCGATACGAAGGTGCTGATTTGCATGATGGTGCCTACCTTGGTGCCCGCATAGCTGTGTTTTGTCCCAGAAGAAGTGTGGGCAAGCTGACTAGTTTGAAAAGAAGGTATTTGGCAGCCATTGGAGGTCAAAGATGTGTACACTGCGACGTTCACAAATGTCCACTTGTGCTGAATCATCATCACAAAAAAAGCTCAGAAAACACATACAAATGCGTCTGCAGGGAAGGGTGGCAGCACAATCGTGATGAAGTTTGCGGGCAGTTTGGCAGTTACTTATGTCCATATCTTGACTGTTGCAATATTTCGATTTGTGACAATCATCTGAGCAAATCAAGGAATAGGTGCAATTCAGTTGGTCCGGAGGCTGCGATGTTCCTTTCAGAAGTAGGATCCAGTTTCTTCAGTAATGATGGGGTGTCTGATGATGGCGCCTTCAGGGGACGTTGCGAATCAAGCATAGCTAATCATGTTCTGCCGGAAGCCCTAGGGCCAACTGCGGGACACGAACTGCCGCAAGACATAGTTGGTGAATACGGAGCAAATTGCATAATGGAGGACAATAGTGATTCAGGCTCTAGCTTTGGTAGTTATGACATGGTAGCAGAGGACAATTTGGAAGAACCGTGGAATTTTGTTGCAGCGCCAACAAATGATGAAGACCAGCAGAGGGTGGTAGTTGGTGATCAGGAACACAACAATAGCGTAAACAGGAGTCATGTCTCCGAGCATTTTGGTGCTGAGGATATCCCTACCACAACTATCCCTACAACAACCACAGGAACAGATCAATGTGAGATAGCTGTTGAACACAGTGATTCTTCCGAGTTTCGGATTCCACTTTATGTCATACTTAATCAACATGGACACTTATTGACGCGAACAAACCACAAACTTCGAATGAATAAAATGCATTGGTCAATCACCGAACGACTGGTTGCAAAGGCAGAATCAAAGGTAAGCCCTCTGGTCTATGCCAAAGGGCAGTTATTTCCAACAATATTTTGGTACAGTTTAGATGACGGCTCTATCCCTGGTGCCATGCCAACAGCACTATGGTCAAACAAGCAGACGTTGAAAAAGCTTGGCATTGGGAGTATGAGAGACCATGCCAAGATGAGAGTTTCTAATCCTGCAATCCCAACATCCGTTGATCCTGCTTATCATTTTATGTTACTTGATCAACTAACAAACCTAGGAGCAAATGGGAAGCACACTCGCTTGGTATTACAAAGAGGCTTTTGTGACCACCAGCAAAACGACGGTGTGAGTTTTCGAGACAGAAGCGACTCTGCAGAACTTTACGGCGACACATCAGAAAATCATGCCAATGTTCATAAGTTGGCAGCACTCGTCGAAGAAAGGAGGCCCCATTACTTCTTCACTCAGACCTGCAACCAGAAAACATGCAGTGGCTTGCGTGTGGTGAGGGAATGGCTCATCTCAAAGGAAGCAGTAATGTTGATCTGCGCAAAATATGGATTGGACATGGATGAAGCATCACAATATTTGAGAGAATCTGCTGCATTGTATGTATCCCGCAGTTGGAACAAAGTTGCAGATATGTGGATGTGATATATCATCTACTCTCCAGAACAGCCTTTGGGTCCAATAGACTATGCATGGTACCCGAAAGAGTTCCAAGGTTAGCGACCCAGTTGCTTTGATTTTCCTGTTTGCCTTTCATCATATTTCACTCGGTATTGTTGTTTTGCATGGTTTGTACAGATACTCAAGGTAACTTGGCGCATATTTACTCCATTCTTCGAACATCCTACAATGTCAATAATCCAAGTGAGTTGGAACTTGTGCTCAACAAAATCAGAGGCTGTGTCAATGAACTCATCCATTACCAGGAGTATTTAGAAATGAAAGGGAAGGGGCTGATTTCCTCTCTAGATCATTTCATTGATATTCTTGACCAGGCAAAATCTTATTTGACACACAGCTGTAACACAAGATGCCAGATTCCACGCACAAGAACACAAACTGGGGAAACTTACTTTGTTTGCAAGGCGCAGGACAATTACTACAAGACTCTGACACCGTATAGGCACACTATTGAACCTGTCAAAGTCTCCCACACAAGAGACACCATTAAGATTTACAACAACCTTGGGATGATGGACGGGGATCTTGTACTTGATGACTGCCTACTGTCAGAGTTCCATGTTCCGATATGCTCCATTGACAATAAAAAGTTTTCTCCTACCAATGGAAACCTATTTGCTTGCTTTCCAAGTTCGCAGAACATCCAATATACAACAGGACACATGATAGGCGCTTATTTGGTGAAATATGTGACAAAGATGGATGATGTTGCAAGGGTTGAGTTGAAACCACAAGCAAAGTTTGATAAGACCCGTGCTAGAGGAGTAATTGAAGAGCTTCACAACACAAAAATCACTTCAAATAAAATCCATGCTAGTCAAACTAGAAAGAAGAATTCAAATTATGGGAGACTTGTAACTCAGACGGAATGTCTCTCTGTTATTCTTGGTGAAGACCTTGTAACATCGTCGGTTCCCTTGGTCTATTTTTCAACATCACCCTGAGAATATCGCCCCGCACTTTTCAAGAGAGGGCAATGCAATGTGGACAATGTTCCGGATCATGTCGCTTACCTCACAAACATCAATCAAGAAATCAGACAAGATCGGAACTTTCCGCAGATTCGCCTGTTTTCTTCCAATCAAATGAAAGTGATTTTTGACGAAAGATCTTCATCCCTCACAGTTGACGCTGTCACTGTTTTCAGTATTCGCCCCCCGGAGCTACATTTTGTCAACAGCGTTCGGTTATTTTTTCGGTGGTTTAAAAGGCAGTCTCTTCACCATGACGAAGACACATTGACACAAGGGCTAAGAAAAAGACTGAGATTAGATGTGATGAAATGCTACTGGATTGACGGCCTGAACATGCACATTGTCTTGCGGAGGGGTGCATTGTCAGAAATACTTGATTATACAAGAGAATGTGACATTTTTATCGTCTGATATATCTACGGTGCTTCCTACTCCGTGGACCACACCTGTGTTTCCAAAGAACAGAGGTCGGTTTTTGGTGTTCATCCTCCTTTTGTTCGGTCGTTTCGAAACTGAATACGGCTTGATGGATCAAGACAACATGAAGAAAGCCTACATTCATGCAGGGTTATTTACTTCCTCTGATGACACTGAGGTGAAAAATGAATCAGTCAGATCCTTGTTGAGCCGATACGTTCGTAAATGCCTATGTTGGCAGTCTGGATCTGTATACAATCGCAACAGAAATCTTGTTCTTGCCAACGCCGCCTTTTCCGAATGTCTGCTGGGGGCTGAAGATGAATTGGTCATGGGCACTCCACGTGTGTTGCAGTCGGCAATGAGACAAGAAACTACCGAAAAGATCAATTCAGAAAAGCGCAAATTACTGGCTGCTTTCCTCCGCGCTTTGTATAGCGATTTGCTGAACGCAGGTTTCACAAACGCAAACCTTCCAAACAGAGACAATATGGAGACTATGCATTCCCTCACAGCTCCATTGCGCGACAATGGCATTAATGTAGAAAGCATTGGTGTCGTAGACTACGTCTTCCCTCCAGAATTTGCGATCCACAGAGTACAAAGCTTTGCTTCATACACGGAACAAAAGAAAGTTTTACAATCAGCAAAACATACAATTGATCGTTACATGCGCGGCGTATCTCACAAAAACGTTGTCATATGCGGAGGTCCGGGCAATGGTAAAACGACAGTGTGTCAAGAAATATGCCTTTACGCAATGTCCAGAGGATTGAAGGGAATAGCAACAAGCATCGTTGCTGATAGAAGTAAGGCACTTGGTGGGATGCACATCCACCTTCTATGCGCAATACCTATAAGCGATCGCCGAAACATGTCTCCTGGTCGTACCGCGGAAGCTGCCCTTATTAGCATATACCGAAGACCAGAGTTGCTGCACTTTTGGCAAGAACTTCAATTCCTGTATATTGATGAGTTTGGAGCAGTCAGTGCTGAGTTGTTAGCAACCATGGACATCATTGCAAGGAGTGTGAAAGATTCCAGCAGATTCCTTGGTGGCATTCTTGTGATCTGTTCAATGAATATTCATCAGCTAATGCCAATTGATGGCACGGCATTGATGCTGTCAATGAATATGATGACAGAATTCCATTTTACCGAACTAACAGAATCCGTCCGAGCTGCCCGAGACGCAAATCTTTGCAGACTGTGTCGGCTCACTCGCATTTCTGAGTGGGATGACAATCTGAGGAATGAATTCAGAGAAATTGTGACCAAAAATTGTAACTTCGTTTCCACATTCGATGATGCGCAAATTCCCGAAGATGGAATATACGTTTTTGGCCGTAGAGCGCCTTGCGAATCTATTGAAAATGTGCTGGTTAAGCGTATGGAGAATGAACCTACGATTACCTTGGTTATGTCGCCTTCTGAAGACGAAGAATCTTCCGTAGCAGGTAACTGGAAAATCGCTTCTTCTCCTGTTGCACAGGAATTATCAAGAAAGCTGAAACAGAAGAAAAAACTATATCTGTACAAGAAAGGAAGGTACGAATTTACTCATAATCTACATGGGTCCTACCAGCAAGGCCAGCTTGCAATACTACTTGACATTGACGAAGGCGATGTTGATGCAAAACGAAACATTGAACTGTACAAGGGTAAGCCAGGTTGTAAGGAGTTCCCACTCCTTGCAAACTTCAACCGGGAGTATTTGAAGCTCCACGGCTGGGAACCAGTTGCAGTTCCATTTCAAATGTCAAAACCAAAAAGGATTTGGGGTCGCATTGTTGCTAGGAGAGCACAATATGGTATCAGGTTGCAGATAGCCTCTACCATTCATGCAAGCCAAGGAGCTACTTTTGGCAAGCTTGTAACCGCAGTTTGCAACATTGCTCTATACAGCGACTTGAATTTTGCATTATGGGATGCCGCTCAAGTGGTAGTTCTTCTATCAAGAACGAGACACTGTTCCGATGTCTTCTTTGTAGGAAGACCAGACGAAGTTGTTGCTCATCTTCTGTCTGTCCTGGAGATGACATCAAAGTACATGGCTCACATTACTTCCATAACGCAGCGCCTCTGCTCTCGTGACAACGCCTCTTCCATCATACCAGGGTCGCCACTTTTCCGACCATGTGACATTATTCTCGACTGTATACCTGCCGTATATCTTCTGGTTTCCACAAGGAGCTATGGATACCTTTATATAGGAGAGACCGTGGATGTCCGAAGAAGACTAAATGATCATAACTCGGGCCAGGGTAGTGGTTTTACGAACAATGAAAGACTGCTACCATGGGCTCTTTTCGGTTATGTTCATGGTCTTGTTTCCTGCAATAATCGCCGAAACTTTGAACAGCGGTGGAAGCGACTAGGAATGGCTCAACGGAATGCAGCTACATGTTCTCCTGTTGGAATGTTAAGAATCGCTCAAGAGATAACTGCAACCATGAATAGATACAGGTTGCAACGAAACCAACTACAGGTCCAGCAATGTGGTTCTTATGAACTCGAAATTTGTGATTCCTTCAGAATTATGGAACACACATAAATAAATATTTTTCAATAGTCATATTTTATAAAACACTTTGTTCATCTAATCTAGTCACTCGGGGGGTGCTGGGTTTAGAGTAATAAGTAGATCTTACCATCAACGACTATATTTTAACATTTTCCATTCATCGAAGTCAAACCAGGAAAATGGGCGGATGCTGTCGGCTTCCGCTCATTTTCCCACCAGAAACTATAAATGCCAAACCCGGTGGTTCGTGAGTATCTCTCGACTTGGGCGGTTCATGGCCGCCGCCCCTGATGTTTGAAATCATTTGTGTTCGATCCCATAATTGTCCAAAGCACTTTCAAAAACCAAAATTCTCGACTTAGGTCAGCTTATGAACAATGTTCAATGTTAACAATCTACAAAACGATCTTACGGTAAATGTTAGAATAAAGCAAAATGTGCTCTATCGTGAGTGCTTTTAGCGCTCAGAACAAACTCTCTGCAATCTAAATTCGTAATCGACTGTACAACACTTTCACGACAATAGTTCTCCTGTGTCTAGGT